AGAGAGAGAGAGAGAGAGAGAGAGAGAGAGAGAGAGAGAGAGAGAGAGAGAGAGAGAGAGAGAGAGAGAGAGAGAGAGAGAGAGAGAGAGAGAAGAGAAGAGAGAGAGAGAGAGAGAGAGAGAGAGAGAGAGAGAGAGAGAGAGAGGTGAGTGAATGAATGACTGAGTGCGCGAGTGAATGAATGACAGAGTGCGTGAGTGAATGAGTGTGCATTTCAACCCGCCCGCACACACCTCTCGGGGGGAAGCGGTTCCGTTGCGAGGCAGCCGCGACAACCGGCCGGTCGGACCTCTGGCTGAGGTGGTGGCGGCCGGGCCTGCCTTGGGGCTTGTATTGCGACTCGTAGGCCTTAAAGAATCCGGTGAACTGGGTCGCCCTGTATCGGGAGTCGTGAAGGGGACGAACGGCTGACACCCGATGTGGCCTGCGATGGGAGGCGGCCACAGCACGAAGGGCGCTCGCCGAGCCCCGGCCCGTGGCTTCGAGCGAAGGCCCCGCCTGGGAAGAGGCTTTGTTCCTCTCAAGGAGCACGGACGCCGAGGTTCGCGGTGGGGGGGACGCGGTGCTGGCGTCCAGGGTCGACGAGGAGGACCGCAGAGACAGCGAGGCCGAGTCATCATCGTCGGACGGTGGCAGAATCGCGTGCCCGAGAGGGTCTGATGGTGGAGGAAAACTTCTCCGGTGGGTGCGGGAGCGGCTGTCGAGGCCGTGCGAGGAGCGAGAGCTGCTTTCGCTCACTTGCAGCAGAAGCTGCGTCAGTCTCTTCGTGTCAGACTGGAGGACGTCGATCTTGGAGCGCTGGCGGGCGTCGGTGCGAGACGAGGAGCGAGCGCGCCCTTGATTCTGGATCAGGATCTTGAAGAGTTTGTCCGTGTGCGCCTGCAGCTTCTCGATCTTTTCCTCCACCGGCGCTCCAGGACTGATGACCGGCATGTCCGGCACACCGCCTTGCAAGGGGCGCCGGGCTTTCCGCTGAGTGACCGCCATCGACATGGTCTTCTGCTGGGGAGAGTTTTGGGGCCCCGTGGACTGCACTGCTGAATCATTCGTTTCCATGATGGATGTTTCTTTGCTTTCTACCGAATTTAAATCCAAGCCTTCAAAATAGATCTATATTCTATGAAAGTCAAAGGAGGATAAATCCAAGAATCAAAAGCAAGCCTGCGATTCGCCACTGTTTTTGTATCAAACTTAAAAGAAGGCAAATCCAAGATTCCAAAACAGGCCTATATTCATCACTGCATTCATCTATGGAATCAAAGAGAGAGTAAATCCAGGACTCCAAAATATGCTGACATTCACCACTGTGTTTCTGTATGGAACGCAAAAGCCGGTAGATCCAGAAATCCAAAATAGGCCTTAATTCGTCACTTGTTTCCTCATCGAAGCGGAGAGGGTAAATCCAGGGCTCCGAAATAGGCCTAAAACCGTCACTCTATTTCTCAACGGAACGTAAAAGACAGAGTTTTAAGTCACTGCCAGCAGCCTTATAAAATCCTTGCATCTCGGTTTCTGGGGATATTTTCCGTATTGAAAATGCAAACGTAAGCCTAGGCTATTCACATGTTTATCACACCGACTTCAGGATTAGACTAACTTTTCAGAAATTGGCTGTTTAATTAAATTCAGACACACGCCGCAGTGAGTCTGCGCCCTGTCATGCGCATCGAATTACGTTTTGTTGAATATATCTGGCTAGAATTGTCGGGGATGTCTATTCTAAGGTTCCAATACTCAAAATGCTTCCTATATCTAAATGTAAAATCTTTATTTAAGCTATTAATATTTCTTTCGATTCTTAAATCATAATTCTTTAAGTTATACCTACACGAACATACCGTCATAGAAAATGCCTGCGGCGAAATCCGAAAAGAAAACGGCTCCTTTTAGAGGGTAGCCTAAACAAACTCGCACATACACTAAATATGTGTATGTGCTAACACATACACACATAAATACACGATAAACGCCACGCCACGTCACATTGCGTCACATCATATCACATGACATCGAATATCATATCACATCAAATCACATTTCAACACATCACGTCGCATCAAAACACACGTACTCAAACAAACAAACAAACAAACAGACAAACAAACAAACAAACAAACACACACACACACACACACACACACACACACACGCACACCGTCGACAAGTCCACATCTTAGTCACACAGCCATCTGACGTGTTATTTACGCCCCCCCCCCCACCTATCCACATAATCCCATGCTTTAATCCGCTAAGTGCCAATTAATCCATTACGGAAACAAACAAAATTTCCAGGGACAATTAAAAAAAAAGAGAGAGAGAGAGAGAGAGATAATTGACAAACTTAATAAAAGTGAAAAATTGAAATGAAAGCAAATTCCCTGGAAATCAAATATTACACACAGCCATCTGACGTGTTATTTACTTAGAGCCTTCATATATCACGGTTAATGCCAGGAGCGGCCGCGTTAACCATATAATGAATTAATGTCCTTGCCACTGTGACACATTATAAAAAGAAAGACTTTTTCTTCCTCCAGCTTACTTTCCCCTCCCCCCATATCCCCACCCCCCCTACCCCCACCTAACCCTTCAAGTCTCTTTCTTCCACATTCCTCTCCCATTACCCCTTACCCCTCCTTCTGA